GTGGACCAAACAGAAAGGCAAAAACAAAAAAGAGATAATTTAACAAATGGTAGGTGAATCATGAACAAAAAAAAAAAAAAAAAAAATCCAGGCCAAACTGAGGTAAGGTAAATCAAACTGAACAGAACAAAACTAACCAGACAAAAGAACAGGGGGAGGACCAATTACACTAAATAATTAAACTACTAACTTAATCAAAGTAACAAGAAGGCAATTCATTGTAATACAGAAAATAATAAGTGATAATAAAATGACCTTAAAAAAACTAGACAAACAAACTTATTAAAACAAACTAAATAGTGCTCCCCCCTTGTTGATTCATTGATGGTCTCTCCCAAGGGTCCTCCATCCAGCACTCAAAAAAAAAAAAAAAAAAAAAAAAGTGTAAGTAAATAATTCAGACTTATATTAACTAAAATCTGTGCACCCAAATTAGAATATAAGTCTAAATAAAGGAATTAAATTATGTGTGATGTAATTAACTTAATGTAAATGAAATTAAATGAAATAATAGTGTCACTGTGGAGTGGTGGCAGAGGTATCCACCACAGTCCATGTGTTTTTCTATTATTAAACATATGCACAATAATTACAATATGTTATTTGACTTAAACATTAATTATGCAGACATCTGGACATAGTTTCTTTTATATTTCTGACTATTCTATTCTGAGACTTGTTGCGCTGGACCGGACTACATGGGCTACATTAAACCCCCGAGCAGAACCATGTTGACAATCCAATCTGGCACATGTCATAATGATGGCAATTACGTGTATGATTCATAACACTATTCTAAACATATGAAATGTATCAAAGTGAATCACCCCCATGCTAACAGCCTGCTAATGATGGCTATTACACACTGTATGGGTGGGTGCATGGGTGGAGTGGGGGGCTTGTTCTGCCTTATTTTCTGCTGTTGATCAAAAGCTGCATTGATGTTACATGTATGAAATAAACAGATGGTGAATAAAAGCGCGTTGCACATTACAGGCACCCCTCTTGTCCTGTTTAATTAGTCGTATTATGGCCACTAAATACACAACAAGCACAACTGTGAGCAGGAGGGGACAGAAGCACAGGCAATAATGTGGCCATCTGCTTTTTCATATAAACCATTTCATTTCTGCTTCAAAGACTGAAACTGTGCAGGAAGAAAGGGAGGAGAGAAAGAGAATACGACTATGTGGTAAGTAAACAAGGTAATTATATCTAATTACAATTAAAAAGCTGTGGCCTCAAACATGTATATTTACTGTTGAGGGTTCATCTGACGCACACTAATGAGAGAGATGTCAGTGATTTGCTTTTTCTAGTTTTATCAGACAAATAATGGATTAGAAGAAAATAGTAAGTTGAAAATTAGAAGAAAAAGCTAATTCAACTTTAATAGTAATTATGTTTAACTTTTTCTCCATATGATTCACTGTTTTGTTCTTTTTTTAATCTTTCCCATACTATTTGTTTATTACAATAATTATTACAATTTATTATTGTTTTAATACTTGTTCTGTAAAGCGTATTTGAGAGTCCTGAAAAGTGCTATATGACTACAATGTATTATTATTATATTATTCATTAAACATGGTTAGAAAAATTACGTTCATTAATTATCAGTATTATTGCAAACTAAATTAGTATTTAGTGTTCTGGTCTCACTTAACAGAAAAGTTGTAATGACCTGTTTCATGCAATCCTTTTTTTTTTTTTTTTTAAATCAAAATGATTCTAGTTTCTTAACTGATAGGAAAAGGTTAAACTGTTTTCTTTAACCTTTGTCAGTATTGATACCTCCTCAAATGAGCTCAGATATCTTCATTATTGTCTAAATCAGTGGTCATCAAACTAAGGCCCGCGGGCCACCTCCGACCCACCACGCCCTTTTAATCGCCCCCAGCCCCTCTGGCCCCCACCACTTGAACTGGCCCTATGAGGCCATCCTCAAAAGTTGTCATGGCCTATTTTTTTAAATGACTTTTTGGAAAATAATAACACGTCTGCATCTTTGTTAATTTTTTTTTTAGTTAAAAACATTATATTTATATGAAGTATTTATATTTAAATAATTATATGACATATTTACATTTGCTGCCAAATTTGCCATTAAATTTTCGTCACCTGACAAGTGTGAGATCAAACAGTCAATGCATGTGCAGAGTTCTGCATTTTTCAAAGAATATAATCTGTGTCATCACTATGAAACCCATCCACAAAGAGTATACCAGCTTGCGAGGGCAAACGAGAGAAGACAGGACTCGGCAGATGAAAAGCGGACTGGCTGCTCAACGGCATGTGTTCGGCCTACCTGCCCCCGGCCCCCCACCACACTCAGGAGCAATAATGTGGCCCCCAGAGAAAAAAGTTTGGTGATCCCTGGTCTAAATGTTTGCTGATGTAATGATGCGCTGCAGTCTGGGCCTGGATTCCCTCGAAAGAGAGATGAGTAATCTCAGTGGGACTTTCCTGCTTGAGTAACAGTTTTATAAAGAATTATATTACGTACTTTAAATTATTTTTATTTATTGCTGCATTACCAAGAAAGATTACTAGTACTTCATAAATTAGCAATTCTTTCTATCTTTACTGTCTTTGCCAATTACATCATAGCGCCATTTTAAAATTGAGAAGAGAATTGCTTACTACTGAAAACTTAAAAATGTCTTTTCTTTTACATCTATTCATGACACACACACATTACAAAACTTGATGGCAGTTCTTTCAACCTCTGCTTCTAACTCTAAAAAGTCTTTCTGCTCAGAAAAGCTGCAGTGACAAGTCTGACCAGTGGAGCCTCAACCCACTCTCATGTATTAAATATGGTAAAGACAAATGACCTTGAGATCACAGGAGCACCAAACAGAAACAATGAGTCCGCCCTAATAGAGACATTACAATCCGGCGCACAGTGACTGATCAGAGGGGGTCTGATTGGACGAGTGGAGAGGTGGGCGACATTGTGAAAAGGTCACTGCACACTCTACCTGAACATTTTAATATTCCCAACTCTCCTCCGCGCACATGTTGAAGGAATAAAGTGAAAAGTATAAGAAAAAAAAAAAAAAAGTTCCAACTCCTCAGTGATTACAGACTTTCGGGGACGGGTGATATTTTCCCAAACGCATTAGTGAAATAAGATGGTAATTTCCAGCGGCCAGGGTGTATCCAGGCAGAAAATGATAAAAGGAAGTAAAGATAGGTGCGGGAGGGGTGAGGGTGGTGTTGGGGGGGTGAGCGGTGATGGGTGGGGGGTGTACGGGGGTTAATTGAGGGGTTAACGGGGGGTGGTGTAGGCTGAAGGTCAGACTGCTGTTCCGAGCGGCAGGGGGTCCTTCGCAGCAGAGGTCTGGGCTGGTGTCTAGATAATGGTGCAGCCAGGTGAACAGCAGGGCATATAGACTGTAGACCATAGACCAGAGGGAGCAGAGGGGCCAGGACAGGGGAGGTGTGTTTTTCAGTGTATTTATATAACCAGGATGTGTACAGGGCAGCGGAGGTGAAGCAAAGGAAAGACGTGTACAGATATGCAAGAGATTGTGAGTGTGAGATTGTGAAGGTGTGGTTAGGGCATTTGTTCACTAACCAGACCTGAACTGCACTTGGATAGGGCTGGGCGATTTTTCCCTTATATCGACTGATCTCAATATTTGATTTTATCGTAATGTCATAAAATAACATTCAATATTGATTTCTTGAACAGAAACATTAAGGGGTAGCCAGGCTGGCGCCACCTAGTGCCTCCGCTCAATTTCATTTCTCTCTAGCGATTAGGTCATAAATCAGAATACACTTGACAGACTGCAAAAACCTCTGAAGTGCCAAGAGCCAAACATTCTGTGTTGTCAACGATTCCTGAGATCGAGGATTTAAAGATGTAACAAAGAGAATGTTTGGTGAATTTTATCAATGGGGAAGACATTGTTGCCCTTCTCCCTAAGGGATTTGGGAAAAGCTTAATATATAAGTTAGCCCCGTTAACGGCGCATTACACACGTCACAACCAAATAGCAGTGATTGGTTGAGTAAAAAAAAGTACCCACCTACCATCGAGCGAACAAATTCTAGTGATGAGAGGTCAGACGGTTTCTACGAACTGAAACCGGCTGATGAATCAGGCTACATTAGGAGTGGGACAAGACACAGTTTCCTCAAGACAAGACATGAGTTTTGGAATAATTTATAATAAAATTATTGTGCGATCCCATTTGCAGTTTTGTCCTAACATTTCCTAATTTAATATTTTTGTTGCAGTAGACCTTCTTTTGGGAACCATACCTCCACAAGAGTTGTCATTTTCCTAACTCTTTTTGTCTAACCCAGATGAATCTAAATCTAAATCTAAATCTAAATGGAAACAAATGCCACAAAAGCATTTTCCTCATGTGCGCATAATATCGTGGCAGTTTTATCTCATGAAATCTTGTCCCATTTCTATAAACAAGTCCTATTTGTTTACAGTTTGTGTGTTACCTAGGTGTAACACTGTGAAACTGTGTCTGAGTCATATTTTGCATAATCGTTGTGGCCCTTTTTTTTTTTTTTTTTTGCTATGGATCATACCTGGACCACAGAGGGATTACATACAGGCTTTTAATTTGATATTTAAAGAATTTACAGAGCTGCATTTCTTCCTCCAAGGTCTGAACTCTGCTGCCAACCACATGCTTTACTGACAGAGGATTAAAAAAAAAAAAAAAAAAAAAACTCGATTGATGATTGGAAATGACTGAATCGCGACTTCAGATAACACCGTCTTTATTGCACAGCCCTTCACTCAGACCTGCGCAGGCATAAAATGAGAATATTTATTTAATTGATGTACATTTACTTATAGTTTTCAACTTGAGCCAGAGAAGTATATACCAGGAATTTGGGGTCTTAGATGACTATTACAACCAATAATCAATCACTCTGACCTTGAAAATGCACTTCTAGCAACTTCTTGTCAGATATAAATTGTTTCATAAAATATACGTGAATATGTATATAAGAAAAAACACTTCTGTTCTTCAAAATTCATTTATTTGGATTTTTTATTGCATGTAATGTACACATTTTTTTACACTTTTTTTTTTTTTTTTTTAATCTAGAAAGAATGAGTCTCTGAATAACATTATAATAACCGGGTCACTGTAGAATTATTGTAGTATTATTGTTTTTTGGATAAAGTCTTCACATTATCTGTTTGAACCATTACAACCAGTGAAACAGCGGTTAACTAATCAGAAAATGAGTTTTGTTCAGAAAATGTTCAGCACATCATGATTGGAGCCTATTCCCTAACCTTATCTCCTAAACCTACAGTAAAAGTCTAATTCTTAGCCAAGAGTGTATATGACGTGTGACAGTAGATGTGTTAATAACGGGAGTTTAGACAATCAGCTAATGAGGCCAGTATTAAAAATAAACTTATGCACATAAAAAAAAAGAGGATCACAAGAACAGGAACTGACCCATGTGACTCTCTGATTCCTCTGAATTGACTCATGGTCAGATCCACTTATGAAGCAACTAACCATAATGTTTTGATTCCCAACACGCCATCAGTTACAGAGTGCAGTCCAGCAAGTCACAAGTATAGATACAAATGCATTAAGTACTCAATAATACTGCAAAACTGTTGTAAAAATATTTGTGTTGTTTTTTTTCCAGTTTGAGAACTGATTTATAGCAAGAGATGAATCCGTCATGTTTTGAGTGCAGTTTTGATTTAAAGATGCACTGTGTAACTTTTTGACTGAGGGTCCATCACCTACTTGTCTCTATGGAGATGTCATTGCTCTGCCTGGAATGTTCCACAGTATGACATTAAACAGTTCTACCTTACATTTATTAAATTACAGGTAGTTTAATAGCTCAAACATACCTATAAATACAGGCATTCTGACTGTGAGTGGGGATCCCTTTCCACAGATCTGACCTGTAACTTGGCCTGGTTTGGTCTTCATGAAGATAGAAATGCTTAATATTATACTGTGAAACATTCCAGACAAAGCAATATCATCATGGAGAAAAGCATCTGATGGGCTTTCCACCAGAAAAGTTACACAATGCACCTTTAAATATCATGGTTTGTAAGAGACTAGCCTGATACTTCCTAGTGTAAGTACACATATTGTACATTATCAACTCATTCCACCTCCTATTTTTTACTGCTAAAAACTGTGTAAAACAATCCTAAAATAAACAAATATTCCAAAATCCTATAAAAGACTGCAACGAAAGTATTCAAGAAAAAAGTGAGATCTTTCTACTTTGCCCTGATTGACATTTCACAAGTTTGTTCTACAGTGCTATAACAGATTGTGTAAGATAATCTCTATTCTATTGTATATGATTTCATCTAAGTATCACATACAGAGCTCAGAAACAAGTATTAGACCACCAGTCATAAAAAGTTTTTTGATCATAGTATTACGTTTAAACTAGGGGTGTAATGATATCCAAGTCTGACGATACGATATCATCATGGAAAGAACCTCAGGCTACGATATTTATTGCGATATCGTGGGTAAGCTCACGATATGGTGGGAAGGCTCACGATTAGGGATGTAACAAAATCCAAATCTCGATATTTTCACGATATACATCTCACAGTACGATATTTATTGTGATATTTTGCAGAGCTAACAAAACTATTAATAAAATCCAAGGAACTAAGACTCAAAAGTGTTTAGAACTGTTATTTCTTCATGTAGTCTGCACTGAAATGGAGCAAAGGATCATGGTCTATGCAGTCCCTTCTGTCTTTTTTTTAGCTATTGCTGCACCCTAACTCTTAATTTAAGCAAAGAGACTTGTAATTCGATATATTGTGAGGGTCAATATTTCAATTATTTGTTACACCCCTAGTTTAAACGTATTTTAATTTTGAGATTTTGTTTTTAAAATGTTAAGAGCAAGTTCCTGCTTTATGACAGGTGGTTTAAAAACTCCCCAAGCCCTATAAAACTACAGTGTTGTAAAGTCATCTTCAAGTGAAAGAAGATCCATTAAAGTGAAAAGGACGAGTAGGCTATGTTAAGTGTACATATCAGACCTACAAATATAAAACAAAAACTATTACAATATAGTTAGATTTCCTGTTAAACATAGCTATTTAAAAGTAATACTTTTTCACAAAATAAACTGAAAACATGCTTCTCTATTGTTTTCTCTCTCTTCTGTCTGCATAATCTTCAGTCTTACGCCCAAAGGCAGACCTCATCATATACTTTCGTCCTGAAGGTTTAAGAATAATGCACCACTACTTCAGAAAAAAAACACTAAACACATGGTAGGTGTTTGTTTTCCCATTGCCAGTACAGCATACTGATATCGGGTCACATACTGTACATCTCCCCAATGTATCATCATCAATATATTGTGTTTGTGTGTTTGGTTTTAGTAGCATTTAACTTAATGAGGCTTTGGGTGTGTAGGAGGTCAGTAGAGTTCAAATTATTATTAGGCCTGTCACTATAATGAATATACTGATTTATGGTTCACTGTTGAGACTCAGTATTTACAGCATGTATCTTTTCTTTGCACTTTTTTGTAGTGTGATTAGATCAGAGCTGTAGAATAAGTAACTTCAATAACTCATTACAAAAACTAACAAAGTATTAAAGTGATCCATTCTGCCATTCATGTACTACAACTCTAGCTTTTTATCATATTGTTCATTAAAAAGGAATACTGGGATCTGTATGAAGTCCTTTCCATATTAACATTTATCGCAACATTTTGTTCAAATATATGTCTTCAGTGTGTGTTATCATGACAAGCCAAGTTATTACGGGAAATGTGTAGTAGTTTTGTAGATTTCGAGTCCATCTGGTGTATTTGAGAAGCACAGAATCGTTAGTCCATCTTCAATTTTCCAGTCACTTTTGATTAAGCCTCTTCACTGTTTTATAAGTGACCAGAGTCCTCACTGTCCCATCTCTCTCCTCTCAGAGTCTATGTGGGGAAGCAGATTCCACAGCACTCCATGCAGATCTCCAGGCAGTCGGAGGACTCGCAGCAGGCGTCCATGATGCCACAGTCCATGTCACAGGGGCAGTTACAGTCGTCGCCCAGCTCGTCGCCATGGCAGCAGCAGCAGCACGCCTCTGAAGTGCACGTGCCACAGGAGGCCTGGGCCACCACCATGTTACACAGGGTCAGGAACTCACAGAAGAGACAGGCCAGGATGCAGTGCACGCAGCAGTCTGCACAGAGAGAAGCAAAAACATAACACTTTGAAGACTGAAAAATATTAATATTACAACTGATGTTCTTTTTTGTTGTTGTTTTACATTGACATACTATCCTATTTACTAGACCTTTTTTACTCTATTTTAAATGATCTGTAGAAACGATCCTATTTTTAAGTCATTCTAAAACCTATGGATAATTTAACAAATATAAATGCCTTTGTTGGTTTACTGCCCTTGTGGTCCACATGATCTTTTTTGTGTTATGACAGACAATTATTTGACATTATTTGATTTTTACATTTGCATAACAATCAGCTATTCAAATATAGTATACCTTTAACACAAATTACTTGGTACATCTTTAGATTTACTTAATTAATTACTGCCTAATAAATACCTGACCCCTAACACCTAAACTTAACCTTAATTAAGAAGTTACTTTTGTGTAATACTATTTGGATTACTCGTTTTGACTTCTACTCAGGGGATAATTTTAACAATATTAACAATACGGTGAGAGTTGGCTAAAATTTAGAACATTTTTGGCAGCTCAACTCTGAGCACATCACAATATAATTATGTACAAAAAGTGCAGTTGTGTTGAGTGAAGGCAGGGGGTTAAGAGAAATCAGAGAAATTCAAAGAACTGATTCTGGTCCTGTTGCAGTGATTAGCGCCATGTTAAATAATTGTGACATTATCATGCAAACTGCCTGCATGATCACACTAAAATGATTAGCACAGTCCAAGAGTGTCTCTGCCAAATACAGGCTTAATGCTTACCAGGCTCACACCACTCATTAACATCTGACCTCCCCACTCCTCATCTACGGGGCATGCCACTGAATTTTTATATGCTTTGTCAAAACAGTTTTACTAAAAGTGATTTTTTTTTCTTCAATAGAGCATCCACTAACCTCATAGTCGGTGGTTCAAACCCTGATATTTACAAAATATATTGCTGTAATGTTTTGGGGAAAGACACTTCACCCAACTGATAGTGTGAGTGCTTGAGGAGTGAATAGTTGAAATATTACCAAGAGTTTGCATTGAGAAATGTTCAACACACTGATGAGAACTGGAAGTTTTCATGATAGTTAAGATTCCAGTAGTATTAATTTCAACATTTGAAAACCATTTCATTTTGAGCTGTTTTGTTTACATGTTTTAGACAAGTAATAAATATATCAAAGCCATATCAGTTGATACTAAATTCCCCTTTCTCAGAGCCAACCCATCTCCCCGAACCTCCCCGAAGTTCCCTGCTCTGGTCTGTGCGTTAAAGACATGGTGTGGACGGATGCAGAAAAATAGCATTACAAACAGGGAGCATTTGCATAACTTTCATCAGCCCATCTGGAGCTGTCAGAGCACTGTTACTGATTGGGTTAGAGGGAAAGTGAAGGAGGCGAGCTGGAGAACGGCGCGTTAAAGCAGTGCAGAGGACCGCTGGATGCTCATGTTTGATTAATCAAAGTGGAGCACATTTTTTTCCTGCTTTTTCAATGCTCAGGGCTGCGGCGCTGACCAGAAGCACCCACTGCCTGTGATACAAACAAGATAGATAGGGAACATGAAACGAGCCAGTGTGTGCGTATCAGGGAGCTGCCTCAAGTTTGAATGCATCTTATTATCCTTATCGGAGGCCGTAACACTGCAGTGATGGGGTATGCATTACAATTAATCTAACTTTCTCAACATCTCGCTTGAACTCACAGGCAGATCACACTACAGCTGATTTAGGAGTTGTTTCAAGATGGCGAATAAGTTGTAAGAAAACTTCACTCTCTTTCTGCTATGTACCGCCATCTGAACGTCTACAAAATGCCAATGGGAATAATGAACAGTGCCCGGGCAGCTCTGAGCACAAAACCTCAAAGTTCAGAATAACAAAGTTTGAGGGCCCAGAGGGCATAGCCATGGCAGCATTCACAATGTTACAGTCGACTGCCAACACCATCTAAACACAGTACATAGGCATTAAACAGCGGCCGACCGGCTCTGCTATTCACTTGGATGTATAATTCAACACCAGTGATTACTGTGGATCTTAGAAAAGCCGCAGAGGAGGAGGGGAGTGGGGGGGCAGTACACTGTACACAAGAGAGCTGGACACAAGGCACATCTGCACAAAACAGAGGAAGATGGACAGACGGACAGAAGGAGAGACAGAGTGAATCCAAGCAGCAGACAGCACAGCGGCTGACACTGCTGCTGTTTAATGTCAGCGTCACTATGAAGTCCACGAGATCCAGGGCCAAAAACAGTCCGGCGCCTCGTAGGAAATAGTTTGAGACATCTGGAAAGCTAACATCAAAAAAAGAGAGCAGCATGACACAAAACAAGCTGGATGGGCCTCAGAGCAGCAAGCTGTGCAAAACAGTTCAACTCACAAAGAGCAGAGAAAGTGCAAGACAGCCAGACATCAACACACAGAGAGATTGATCAGGCAAAGCCTTGGTGGCCAAGGAAGTGGTCAGGGTGCATACAGAGCCTGGTCAGCGGACTGCAGTGAGGTCCACTACATGCACTGTCAGAGCGCCGCATAATCAGTGAGAGAGAGAAACTCCAGCCAGAACTCACTCAGTTCATTATTAGAGAAGGCTAATTGTGCACGTGTATTTGCTCTATAGTTTACACCACGGATAAATGTGATTACACACAATTAAAACAAAGCAGCCTGGTGTTATCACAGCCCGACTCTAGTGCCAGCATCCTGTGCCAAGAAACACAGAGATCTGCCCAATCCCCTGAGCTAACCCCTGCTAGCTTATGCCTTTTATTTCCAGTGTTCAGGGGCTGTTTAGGAGGCTAATTTCACAGGCAAACAGATTATGTTAATCCGTGTAAACATTCAAACACAACAGCTTGGCTGTTTTCCGGAGGGAAATAAACAGTTGAGAGTGAACATATTGATTTGGAGAGGTGCTGTCTGCAAATAGGAAGACAAAAGCCATAATGAGACAGACTTGTTTAGCAGTTGTTTTTGCACTCTCGCTCTTCTGTTCTTTATAAATTAAGATGTTCAAAACAACGTGTCTGGAATATTAGCGTAACCACTCTGTTTGCGTATTGCTCGACTTATGCATATTTCAAGTCGAACAAAGATTTATGTATAGCAATGCAGTACATCAACTTTTAAGAGCAAGCAAAAGCGAGTGCCTTCTTCTCTGAAACATCTCACAGAACCACCCCATCACAAAACACACATATGTAGAAAGAACAACAGATCACAGGCATCTCCTCAAACACAGATGCGGAGGCCGCGTTAATGATAGCCAGGGTGGTGCTGACGGGATGGAGGGGCCCACAGAGGTGTGAGGGCCACTCAGGGGCCCAACAGGACTTTTAATAGGCCCCCTGTGCTCTCTGAACTCGTTAGATGGTCACACCTATCTCCCCAATGCACAGAGCCCAGCCAACCACCTTCATTACTGGACTCACCTCGGCCTTGCACCTGACAAAGTGACGGCCTCCCTGCATTGCAAACGCTCCATTTGACTTGTTGTTAAGGCAAATAAAAGCCCCAGGAGCTGCCAGAGTTGTCATTGGTCTGACAGGAGTGATAAATATGAGAGGTCATGCTCCATCGTCATTAAAAGGTGAGAGAAGGTAGACCTGTATTATCAATATGCTACAAATTAAACACATATATATTGTATAAAGGGCTAACCTATGGCTCCTAAACTCCATTTGAATTTCAAAGCTTCATGGAAAGTGTCTGACTATAATAAGCCCTCTACGCAGATGTCAGTGGAGGTTAGTTTTGTGACTAACAGTCGAGTGGTGTGGAGGGGGCTGTGGTAGAGCAGTGGCAGAGTTTGGGTTTTATCTTCAATGAGTTTTTGTGTTTTAAATCAATTTGCAAACTTTTTTTTCTCCATTGTAAAATGTATTAGCATGCTGAGAACCAAACTTAATTATGTGTTGCATCATAAAATTCATTTATGAGGTTTATGCTTCAGCTGTGTTTAATTATTGTTATTTTAGTAGAATAGACTGGTTTTGTCTCATTTGTTACTGACTGTCTTTTCAGCACAAAATTTTATGGGCCACACTTTGGGCACTGGTTTAAAGCTACCATCTGTGAGTTTACTTGATTTTTTTCACTAGTTAGCAGATGTTAAACCTGTTCCTATTTCGCCTCACCTGTGGACTGTGGTCTTCTGTCAGGCCACTCCATTGAACATCAGTAACATAGATATCCTCTAGAGATGAAGTATAATGCTTTTGAGTTGTTTGTCTTTTAAATCCTCAATATTTTTTTAATTCATGTATTTATTTTTATTATATATAGATATTTTCATTTCATTCATTTTCATTTTTCATTCATTTTACTTTATGGTACTTCAGTTAAAAAAATAAATCAATTGAAATGTTATTGCTTTTTCGGGAATGTTTCATAGTATGGTACTGAACATTTCTGTCTTCTTGGAAACCAAACAAGACCAAGTTACAGATCTGTGGAGAGGTGACCCTGCTCCGTCAGAATGCCTGTTTTTCTTTATATTTTTTAGCTATAGACCATCTGTAATTGAATAAGTAATTTGTAAGCTGTTTATACTATGGAACATTCCACGCAGACATATCCATAGAAACAAGCAGGTGACGGACCCTCCACTAGAAACGTTACACAATGCACCTTTAAACACAGAACACAGAAACTCTGAAAAAGATAACACCATAGTGCCCTGGTGTACCTTCAGGCAGAGGAGGCTTGTGCGAGCTGCTTGAACTGGCTTTACTGCGGCGGCTGCTGTCACTGTTCACCGACAGACTGGACCGGAGCTTCTTGTGCATCTTGTGGGACACAGAGGCAGAGGAGGGGCGAGGCTGCTCCGTCATGGTGGATGAGTGAACCATCGCTGTACGACCTCCTGACCCTGGACATGGGACAATATGGACATTTTGTGTCATGATTATCAAGCCAAAATAATTGCATTAAACGATAACATCACAATAAGTTGCAATTCTTGACAAATAAAGAAATGCTTACCAATTTGGTAAAAGGTTTATAATTTAGACTATGTGAAATTCATAAATTTTATAAACATTTTTGTATAAATGCTACTTATTGCATCTACTGATCAAAAAAGCATTGGTTAAATTGATGTCTATGGTTACTTCTACATGTTTATGTCAATACTACAAGCATAAAGTAGAGACTGTGGTAACTATTTTTCTCATCTTATAATGGGAAACACTGAGAACTACACTTTTTATAGTATAAATAGTGGAAGTCATGCATATGTAGCCTTTTCTGCACAGTCTAGTGGTTTTGTGGCATATATATATATTGGTTGGTATTATCATGACTATCAAACATGTAAAGAAGGTTTCATCTGTGGTCTTCTGGACTTTTTTTTGCCATCAAATCGTCTTGAAACCATTTTGATCAAGATGTTTTGAGATGTCAAGACATCTTGATCACAAAAAAACAGTCCAGATGACCACAGATGAAACCTTCACTCTCTTCCTACATTGAATCACTCCTGGATGATTACAGCGCCTCATTGTATACAAAATGAGCAAATCAATATTATGAAACAGTGTTATTGTACATGTATAATATCTCATGCCTACCTGCCACTGTGCCATTTCGATTGATGTTGGCCCCACACGTGCACATGCGCCCACCCCCTGTCCCATTCTGTCCAGAGTGAATTCCATTGCCGTTACTCAGGGTGGTGGAGTCGACGCTGTTTTGGCGAAACTCTTTTTGGTCCTGGGTCTCATCTTTCTGAGCAGCTTCTGTCGACGGCTGGCGTTCAGATTGAGGCTGAGCTGCAAAAGAAACATGAATAATAAAATGATTTACTTTTTAGACTCAAATTCTAAACTTTGTCTGGAATCTCTATGCAACTCCACATATTAGTCAGTGCAGCTGTTATCTGTTCTTACAAAGTGAACCTGAAAACAAAATTCTCAGCATATCCGTTCTCGCAATCTCTCGTCATGAATATCGATTATTTGGCATTTCAATCGGGAACAACTAAAAGAAGAAAAAATATGACCGCCTTATGTGAACGAAACACAAAAGCCAGCCCCGTAGGCAGCCGTCACATTTGTGGAAGTACGACGCAGGTGAGTTAAGAACCAGGAAAGCGAGATTAATGCGGAGAATAGAGAAGAGGATCCTGTGATAGTGTGCATATACAAAACCCTGCTGTCTCCTAGCGTAATGATCTACTCCTGTGTTGAAGCTTCGGAGATGGCCTGAACTAGTCTTTTTGACAGCCACAGACACTGGGAGACAGCAGCGACCTGTCTGATAAGGAAGAAGTGAGTGAGGAAAGGAGGTGGCATTTCTCTGCACATTCAGCTCTACTGGGACTCCTCAGCATTACCTTCACTCCAGATCACAGCCCTGGATCCTGCACGCGCCGCCACAGCAAGAGCAACTTCACATTTGAATTATTCATTCTTTTTAAAGTCTGACTCTGTTAACTGTTCCCATTCGGCTTTCCATACTTTGGCGATATACGTTAAACAGATGGGAAGACTTGATAAATGAACCAAGGAGTTACAGAGGAATGTCAGGGTTTTACGAAGGCGATTTGTAAGAACAAAGAAAGGTGTGTTCACATCTAAAAGATACCTCAGCAATCACACTAGCCTTGGTTTGGAACTGGTGTGATCTTGGTTTAGTACAAATGTAGACTCAGTTTAATTCTGTTCTAGTTCCGGTTTACGTAGCCCTGGTCTAGTGCAGGTTTAGTTTAGGTACAGATGTATGTGCAAGTGTGAACACAGCCACTACGGGGCAACAATAGCTATTAGACTGAAATATCATGATATTGTATCGTCAAAGTTCTCACAACAATATTGTGGACCTTCACAATATATCAAATTACAAGTCTCTTTGCTTAAATTAAGAGTTAGATGCAGCAATAGCTAAAAAAAGACAGAGGGAACTACATGGACCATGATCCTTTGCTCCATTTCAGTGTAGACTACATGAAGAAATAACAGTTCTAAGCACTTTTAAGTCTTCGTTTTTTGGTTTAAGTCTCGTCAAGGCATTTTAAGAGGAAAAAGTAGCATATTAACAGTTTTATTAGCCTTCACAAAATATCGCAATAAATATACCGTGAGATGCATATTGTGAAAACATCGTACCAAGAGATTTGGATATTGTTACATCCCTAATCGGGAGCCTCCACATCATATCATCGTGAACTTTCCCATGATATTGCAATAAATATTGTACTCTGAGGTTCATACCGTGACAGTATTGTATCGTGACACTTGGATATCGTTACACCCCTAGTAGCTATGTTGGTAAAGTGTTTGCCCATTGATCCGAAGGTTGGCAGTTTGAATACCGCACTCAACATAAACATAATTGGTAGTTCAGATCTGCAGATTTTTGGTGTGATTCTGTTTGTATGCACTTTTGTGTGAATAGGTGAATAGGTTTCTTGATATAAAGTACTTTGAGTGCCTGCTTTGAAAGAAGCTGGAGAAAGTGCAGTACTAGGAGCAGCAAAGATAGAGGGTGAGAGAGTCCGACCACCCATGGAGGGTAAGAAACAGATATAGAGATATAGTATATAAACTTTCGATCTTTTCTCGCAAATTGAAATAGTCCTGAATTCCACCCCTATATCTAAACAGTATCTGGATCAAATTAAGCTATACTACACATATATATTTGTTATTGGCTTATTGTTATTAATTTTTCAATCCAAATAAAGAGACCTCAGTTTGTCTCAGTTTATCTAACACATGACCAAGGGGGCAGTTAGCTGAATGCCTCTCCTCACTCTTAAACACCATTTCACCCTGCATCCTGTCCTTTCTAAAAACCTACGAAACCAATATATTTTAAAAAGAGAAAAACATATCTTTTGTGTAGCAGCAATCTGGGTTTCCACCACCAAGAAAATTGGATTTGCTTAATTTTATTTTGTCCGATCAAGAACAAATTTAAAAAGCTAATATTGGACTGATGTAGGAACAGGCCTTTCTCAGCACATCACCCTGGGAGAGGCCAGACGTGGACCAGGATCTAAAACAAAGCAATTAAACAGGCAGCAGCCCTCACAACTCCTCATTCACTCTTCTGCATGCGGCTTCAATAAACAAATATAGACTTAAGGGATCAGAGCACCATGCCATTTGAATTAGACAACCAGCTACCTCCAGATCGAATTCATTATGCTGAGATTTAAAAGCAGACTGGATTAAGCTTTAAAAACAAAACCCTTGCCATGACAGTGTGCTGAGAGACTGACAAGGAGATCCATAAACTATAACATCCAGAATTTTCCTCTTCATAAACAGGGATGCACGATTTGGGAAAAATATCAAATTGTGTGTTTTTTTTTTGTTTTTGTTTTTCTGACAAGCACTGTGCTTCAATTTAAATGTCCATGAGAATTGACAAAAAGCCTGAAATAAGAATGGAAAAACTCATACTATGAATTTAGTTGGATTTCATGAAGTCCCATGACAAATGGCATTGCACAACATCGTTCTGTATGTGCTTATGAACTATGTCTACATAATTTGACTGCTATATATTGGAATATATTGGAAAATCATATTGTTTGCTCATTGTATTGCCCTAAAACATAAAAAAATACCTATATTATATAATCAAAGAAGGCCTAATATAGGTATCAAGTGACTCCAAATTGTATGAGAGAGATAGAAAACAGTATTAGTATAAAACTTAAAACTTTGGGGGGGGGAGTACTGTGTGGTCTGATAGAAATCTATGGGGAACACTGCATCACCTAACCTATTGTGATATATTTACTTTTCACCCTGTTTTATCCAGTTAAGAGCATTATACAACATCTGTGCCTTCCTTTTGGCACAGCCCTGACCACACACACACTCAAACTGTTAGAATAGTGCTCCAAAAGGCCAGAGTCTACTGAAAGGCATAATTACAGTGAAAGTGTAGTCTTCAATAGAACAGCATAAATAGTTATTAGGAAACCGCTACTTAGACAGAGGACAGAGGCCGTGACGCGGACGTGTGACAGGTCCCTGGATGGATGGGCCGAGCAGTTGCAGACTTATTTTTATCCTGATGAACGCGTTGACAAAGACGAATCATCACAATGGGGTAATATTCATAATCATTGATCATAATAATGGCGATACTGTCAGGGATGGCAATGACAGACGTGTAGAGCCACCAGCAGACAAATGAAGAAATAATGAGAAAAGCTGAATTAAGTCGCTCCTCATAAAACTCTCACTTTTACTGTATAATCAATTGACTGGAGTGTGCTAAATAGAAACTGCACAATGCCAGCTGTAATTTACAAGAACATGCATTGTGTACTACCTTTCTCAGCACCGTTTTAGTATTGCGTACTAGAAATATCAAGATGATTCAGATAATTGTGATTCATATTCAAGTCACAGTGTAAGAACTGAAAAATACTAATTATGAGGATTCAGTATGTACTCCCAAAAAGCAAATTTGGATTTCATAATTTTTGTCATACTGTATACTTTCCACTGTTTGAGTATCTAACTTCAACTGCTGGTTGAATCAACAATTTCATGAAGACCTACGAGGTGATTGGTGTGTGATTTTGGAAATGGTGACCTTTTTTTTTTTTTTTTTTACTTCTAAAGGGCCCGTATTACACTATTTTCTGATCTCTATTATAATGCTGTTTCCTCATCACAAACATACCTGAAGTTGTGTTTTGTTTTAGTCACACATATTTAACACACACACCCTGCATATTTAGACTGAGTTCTCTCAAACAGAAAGCACTCTGTTCCATCTTGGCATGTGCTAATACAGGAAGTGCTCCACTGTGTTTTTAACTCCATACACCTTCACTTGAATCATTTGGATAATTTCAGATTGCCAATCTCTACTGAACAAAAGGTTAAAAAAAAAAGCTTAAAACTATTACTTCATGAGATCACAACATGGAACAGAGCATTTTGAGTTTTAAAGATACTAATAATGATGCAGGGTTACTCAAACGTGTGAGTGAAACAAAAAACAACTCCAGGTATGTTTTTGAGGAGGTCACATTATAAAATGGTTTAACACTCACAGGTGTAAATTGTGATGTTATTTGGTCATGTTGTTAATAATTGTGAAAAATCATAAAAAATTGTGATGTTTCTTTCATAAAAATTGTTACACCAAATTTGGTATCATGTGACACCTCTATTGCAAACTAAAACAGTGCGTAAAAAGTGACAATGAAAAAGCATTTGATCAGAACAAGTTCCAATTAGTTTATTTTTAGTCCAAATCAGCTGCTGGTGTAGCCTGTGCCGTCCTGGGCCGCACTCACAGTAGAGCTGATAACTGAGCGGTGAGCCTGACAGGTCGCATTAAAAACATGTGTTTGCAGCAAGAGCCGGACACATACACATTTCAAATTGGACTTGTAAGCGCCCTATTTCCAGCCCATCAACAACTGTTGCCAGTGTACATTTGTAGTTGAATAAAACATGCTTTCTCTACACACGCTGTCACACATATCACAAGGGAAACTAGGGGCTGAGTGCTTCTTGACTGTCTAAGCAGCATCCCAATTTGGTCCCAGTGTCTCGTAGTGGCTGACAGCCTCAAATATCTGGGGAACATTTTTAAAAGGCCAGTGTTTGATGGATTCATGAAGAACACACAAATATAATTGCCATTTGTCACTGCGTGTTGAGCGTCTGCGCCACACAGGGACCGGGCGCGCTGGTATCCGGAGAGAGCACAGCTGTGAGGGGGAGCGCCCACTATGTAAAACTGCATATAAACACCTCCGTTTGTGTCAGGGAAATGGGTCCTACAGGAGGGA